GCTGAACCCTACGGAAAGAATATGGGGGTGCTGTCGAAGAGGTTTCCTGACTACTGACCATAATTCACAAAAAATGTGAGATCTGACCGGGCAGCAAGTGAGCTATGATACAGCTTCCTTGACATCCATTAGGAAGAAATGGAAACATGGAAAGCCATAGCCTTGAACAAGGAAGGGTTAGTCAAAATGATATTATTTTCTGCAACGGTGTCTTTTCCAAACCATGCATACTTTATATCCTGAGACATCTGAATGGTTTTCAAGGGTAGTTGGATCATATATGATTTCTGATTCACTGACTTCAGATTTTAACTATTATATTAACTATCCACCGCCACCCACCCCAGCTGAATGCCACACAAGACAGTGGCTCGGCTGTCATAACAGCAGAATGGGGGCTGCAGTTCTCATCCCACACAGGCTAATGTGATGTGAGAGGTGGATTGTTCCTCCTCCGACTGCCGGCACCATGGAATGGGTGGTGAAGCCCATATGTGGTCAAGCACAAGCACTACCGAAAAGCCACAAGTCTGCCTGAACCCGCCTCCGGCTGTGGCCTCCAGGACCGAGTGAGAGTGGTTAATGGACAGGGGAGAGTTGAAAAGAGAGGATTTAAGGAGCAATTGTAGCCCCCTATGGGTTGGAGCCATCACAAGTTCCCTCGGGGTGTCCATCAGCTGGGGGCACACTGTGAGGCTTTATCAGGCCAGGTGGGTGGGTCTAAAAGCAAGAACATGATCCATTCTCATCTATTTCCTGAGGTCTTGCTCTTTGCTGGACACTTTCCTAGATGCAGTTCTTTATTTACGTTCGAGATAGTTACTCTGTTCTCTTTTAAGGCTATGGACAAAGGGGGTACCTTATGGATGTGAGATTAACTGTTCTATTATGTAAAAGGTTGGAGGGAGTGGGTTATTTTTAGCCCATATGGTATGCTAGAAGTGGTACCCCTTCCTCAAGACTCTTTATTTCCATCTTTTGGAAAATTATTGTAATAAATATGCAAGTCACCCATCTTTTCAGTCAACAGAGTCACAAGTTTTTGAAAAAAGAGTAAGATACATCCAGTGTGATGGACACTGCCTTAGATGTGGCATCCTTGTGCAGTCCACAACCTGAACAACCATACATGGTGGCCCTTGGGATGTATATAAATGAGTCCAGTGGCACTGGAAAGGAGGCACTGGCTTCTCTCATCAATATAGGGGGTATGGGATAAGCAGGCCTGGAGGGAGTTCTGGGGACAGCTTGGGGCTCTAGGCAGTAAGCGATTTTCCTTGCTTTTAGGTGCTGTTTGTCCCATCACTGCTGCCTGGAGCAGGTGAGAAGGCTGGACTGCCTGCTCAAGAGGCTTCCTCGGTCACCAGTGGTATGCGTGGATGGTACCCCCAAGTGTAAGTGCTGTGAGCCAGTATAGTGTGTTGTTCTTTCATTCAAGTCAGCATCAGGACCACAGCTCATCTTATAGATGCTTTCCCAAGCACTTGTTCATCTCTAATGTGACTTAAAACGTTTCTTAACTTTGAGGCACACGTTAGTACTCCTACTCCACTGAGGAGGACACTCAAGTTCAAGAGGCTAAGTCAGCTGACAAAAGTCATAGAGCCAGTAAGAGCAGACGGGGAATAATGTAAATTACCCATGCGTACTGAGGGCTTCCCATGTGCTCTTCTGAGTTTTTCATGTGTATTAACAGAGTTCATCCTCACACCAATCCTATGAGGTAGCACCACGAGACTTCCCATTTTACAGAGGTGGCAACTGAGGTCCAAGACCACACAGGTAGAAGGAGGTGATAGAACTGGGGCTGGAACTGTGAAACCATCGAGCCTCAGACCCAGAACCAAGTCTTCACTGTGCCAGTGGGTCTCTTTTCCTGAGAAGCAGAACGCTTTTCCCAAGTGAGGTCCCCTGAGGAAGCCCATAAAAAGGGGAGTGTCTCCGGCTGAAGGAAGAGGTGGGCCTGCATCTCCACTCCTCCCAGGTGTGGAAGCCGGAGGTGCCTCCATGGCCATTCAGGGCCTGGGTGGGGGCGGGGGAGGGGGGATATTTGGAAACAGCCCCACCCTCAGGAGCCTCACTCTGTTGGGCTTGCTTTACAACTGGCTTCATCTCCATTATCTGGCTGCACTTCCCCATGTACGTCAGTGGATGTATTTCCCTTACCCTTTGCAGTTTAAAAGGAAATGGTCCCTATAGCATTTCTCGAGAGCCCTGAGAGGGTTTGTCTCACCCTCACTTTTTATCTGGGGAAGCCCCAGGCTGAGGCTTCAGTGCCACCTCCTCCCTCGGCCTCCAGGAATCCCGGCCTTGGAGGATCGTGTGTGCCTCTCACCTCCCAGGAGGGAACTCTGTGCTTTACATGTCACTTACTCATTCATTCATTCACCCAATTATCTGCTTATCCAAAAAACCTCCATCGGGACCTAGGAACACAGTGAACAGACATGATCCCTGCCTCAAACTGCTCATAGCCCGCAAGGAAGAGAGACAAGCAAGGGACTCTTCTATTATCATTAGTATTGCTACGAGGTGGTACAGGTGCCCGGGACTGTGGTGAAGGGGTTTTGAGCCCGTGGAATACAGCAGCCAGGATGGGAGAATTGGGGAGAAGTTAGAAGGGCAGTGAAGGAGGTTTTCCAAGAGGTTAACAGGTTCCCAGGTGGCCGCGCTGGGTGTGGGTATTCCAAGAAAAAGGAAGAGAAAGACTGTGGCCTTTGGGGAACTCCTGGCAGTTTGGGAATGACACGTGGTTCTGTATTTTGGGAAGAGATAGTGGGAGTCACGGGACCATGGTGATGCAAGGTGAGGCTGGCGAGACAGGTACCAGATCACGAACCCAAGGCTGAAACATTTACATTTTGTCCCATAGGGGGTGAGAAGCCAGGGGTGGGTTTAGAACCCATGAGTGTGATGCAATCATGCCTTGAGGTCCCAACTGCTCAGCTAAAGATGCCTTCATCCCTCTGGTCTCACTGAATCCAGGAAGGTTGTGTGTGTCGTTCGAACTCCTACTGGGCTTCCGTGAACTGGTTCCGACCCTCTGTGAGCCCTGAGCACCGTGTCCTGTAGCAGCTGCAGGTGTCGGGTTGTGAGAAATGAGGGCATCTCGGAGCCTGCTCTGGGCCACCCCACATAAGGCACAGGGGCCCAAGCGCAGAGCTGCTCTGGGGAACAGGCTCAGGTCTGGGTCCGCTCTGCTCTTCCATGTCTCCTCTTTCTGCCTCCTGCTGTGGAGATGCAATGAGTATGCCTGGGGCTGATGTGAAGGCCAGGGTAGGAGATGTGGAGGGTCAGTGTGATGAGAAAGGTCTGGTTGTTCTGGTTGATGAATACTTCGCGGTAGGATCAGACAAAAAAACATTAAACGGACCAAATACGTCTTTGAAAACCACAGACAAGGATAACGTTTGCAGAATGCTTGCCTATGTCCGAGCACCTTCAAATACATTATTTCCTCTGAATCACACGCATGTTCTGCATGCCAACCCGCACTACATGCAACTGCAACCTTCAAGAAATGAAGTAGGGTCACCAGACTGAGCAAATAAAAATACAGATATAGCAAAAATACATGCATTTCTGCTGTGACAGTACGAACCACAGGGTGGGATTCGATGGGAACCCACAGGAAAGACACTCCCTTTAGCCAGAGGGGCTGGAGGAAGCTTTCTGGACGTGGGGGGTGGGGGATGCCGGGTGGATTCCTGATGGATGAGTATGCGCTAACCAGGAGGAGAAAGTTAAGAATATTCCCAGTAGAGGACTCAGTGGACGCAGGACCAAGAGGTTCAGGACGGAGCCGGGGAGTACACAGCGGAAGGGGCAAGCATCCTGCGGTGTCTCAGGTCTGCTACTCTGTCCTTGCCCCCTAAGGTGTAGGGCAGAGCCTGTGTGAGAAGCTGCTTTGTGTCTGTGACCAGACAGCAGCTGAATGCCTGGCCTCTGCCTTCTACAACCAAAGCCTCAAGTCACCTGGCAGACAGGAGTGCCAGGGCCACCGGCCGTCCTGCGAGGACGGCAGGATTTCAGCTTCATCCCTTGGCTCCAGCTCTGAGGAGAACAGCGTGGAGGCCCCGCCGCCCAGGGAGGGCCTGAGAAGAACCAGAAGATTCCTGGGGAAGTCACTTGGTCTCCTGGGGACCAGGCCACAGCATGGCCCCAGATAGATTCCCAGAGAAAATGACCATCACACCCTATCGTTCTGTCCCTCCTGCTACTGTAACCTCTCTGGGCCCATCTCCATCCTCTCTGTCCTCAGCAGAGGCTCAAAGTGGGGAGAGGCAGGAAGACCCTTGCACATGTGCATTGTGATGTTTGTCAGCTCACATCCAAATGTGTCTTTGGAGAAGGCAAACGAGGGGGTGGCTATATGTTTCCTGGAGTGCACTGTAGGGGCTCAATAAATATTCCCATCAACATTTCTTTGGTTTGGTTTTGAAGATGCTGGTACATGAATAGATGGCAAAGGTGAGATGGCAGAGGAACGGAGGGGGAAAAGATATCTTCACTCCCCAATCACTGAAATCACAATCTTCTATTAAAAAAATACAGAAGGGAGTATGTTTAATCAATCTTATGAGATCACCTATGGGTCACCAATAACCCAGCAAAGACATATGCCAAGGACTGAGATGACAGCTCTTCCGGTATGTTATTAAGAGAATGGCCTCAGCCACCTCCATGAAGAATCACTGATAACCCTGTCTTGGGTCTGGCAATATTAAATTGATTTTTAAAAAAAATGATAGGGTTTATCCCAGTGGCTGGAAGTTTGGGGGATGCCAATGTCCACTCAGACACAGACAAATATAATAGGAATTACAAAAAAATGGAAATTATATCCCTCCATCCATCCATCCACCCACCCATCTGATAGTTATTGAGATTTTACTGTGCATCAGGCAAAAAGGCAATGTGCTTCCGGAATCCCCTTCAATATTTCATAAGGACACGAACTATAGTTCACATCACATCCTTGGTTCTCTATTCCCATAAATCACGTGTCCTGCAGTGAGACGATACAGGGTCCCTGCCTGCTCCTCAGACAGGCGGGAAAGCAGAGCCTCTGAAGAGTTCGTGTTCGTGACCTTCTCATGGTGTGGAACTATCCTGACGTTAAAGAACTGAAAACCTTAAGAAATCAAAAGGTCGTGGTGCCAAGCCAGCAGTTGATACCCTTCCCTACCTTCCAGGGAAATCACCTGATGAGCACCTTTTGATGAATCCAACACATTGGAATCTTTTTTTTTTTGCCTGGCACGTGGGATCTTAGTTTCCCAACCAGGGATCTAACCCGTGCCGCCCGCAGTGGGAGCGTGGAGTCTTAACCACTGGACTGCCAGAGAAGTCCCTCTCGTGGGAATCTTTTGAATAATGTGACCTTTTAAGTAACAGCTTAAATTTGGGTCCTCCCAGAAGTGGACCCTTAGACAAGGACTTAAGAGCAAGTGGTTTATTTGGAAAGTACAGGAAACGCTGAGGGGAGAGCAAAGGGATAAGACGGCAGAAGGACGGTAGCCAGTGAAAGCTGCGTTACCAAGGCAGTTGCCCCTGGAAGTAGAATACGCATAGCGCGCGCGCACACGCACACACACACCGCTGGGAGAGGAGACAGACCACCTTCTATCAGATCAGTCTTTACTCCCATGGAGGGCGATGTCTCCTGCCTGCTGCACCTGGGAGCCGGAGGCTCTGGAGGCTGAGGAAGCCTTTAGGCAAAGAAATGCAGGTGAGAGTGGCTGGCAATCAGCCCGCAGGCATTACAGCGGTCAAGGCAAGGCGTGCCACCAATGGCACTCCCTTCCTTTAACCCAGCAGGTGTGTGCTAAGTGCCCGCTTCCCATGGCCGGCACCGTGCTAGGCTGCCCACACGTACGGTGACTGCCTGCCTTCTCCACACCTTCACCTGAGGCAGCTGAATGTTGCTGAAGGACAAAAGCAACTGAGCTGACCCACTTCACCTGAAGCTCATGACCACAAAAACCTCAAATGGACGCTCGACCTTTTCTTAGTAAGCTGAGTTTTCTGCTCTCCAAGACAATTGTTTGGTCCCTTTCCTCCTCTCCTCAAACCTTCCATAACCTCCCCTTGCTCTCAGCTGAGAATTGTCCAGAGCGGAAGGGTCTGAGATTTTTACCTTATTTGTAACTTAACAAGTTGGTCTGCATTTCATGGATACTGGCAGAAGATATGAGATGCTTGGGTCAGAGACAAAGGACTTTATTACTTACAGTAATGGCAGTAGCCTGAGTATGATAATTTATGCTGGTTCCTCAAGCCCTGGGCCAATGCAAAGAGGGTCAGGTAACACCTACACACAGGGTGGGTTTCATTACACAGGGAACCTAAAATATTTATAATTGGCCACAAGCCTCCCAGAAAAGAGATCTGTATTATACAGGACAAGAAGCATGTCTGTCCTTGGCTCCAAAGGGAGATGCCATCTCTGTGTTCCAAGTCTGTAGGATGTACTATATCCTTAAAAAAGATAATCCAGAATAAAGATAGTGTCTCTGTTCACAAGACATGCAGAAATGCAAGGCACATGGCAACAATGACCTCACCTAATACTCCATTGAGAAAACTGAAGTTTTCCCGTGGGAATGTCCTGATCTTCTTGCCTACTGGCGGTCTTTGTCTTCCTTCTTGCTTCAGTGAAAAAAGTGTTCCTTATCCATGTCAAAGGTCAACCCCTCCACCTACGCTCTGGGTACAGTACGCCCCTATTGCCTTTTCCAGGGCTTGATTCCTGCAAACATTTCCTTTTTATTCTATATCAATTCATCCCTCTCTTCTTCTGTATCATTCTAATCAGCATGCAAACATGCCCTAAAGTCTCCCATCTTTAAAAAATCTCTCCCTTGACTCATTAAACTAAGATGGTGGAAACATGAAATTATAAACCTGATGCTCCTAGATTTAGTCTTGTCCTTAAATACAACACTAGGTGGTGCTATACTGGGCATCTTTTGCCTGACTTCACATCATCCAACCCTACCTTACTCCAGATCCTGCCGTGACAGCCAGTTCCACACAGGCTTCAACCTGCCCCATGCACGGGGGTGGAAGCTGACAATGCCTGTCTTCTGCACTTCTACACTCCGTGCATGGGACACAGGACTTCTCTGAGAAAGAGGCATGGCACGCCTTGGGAAACTGCCCAGCACTCAAGCACACACAATCCAAAAACGTGGGGGAGTTAATGTCAACAGGGCCACCCTTGACCATGAAGAACAGAAGCCGAGGATACATGCTTCCCCAGCTTTCATCACCTGGGCGGACAGTTCTGAGATTATTTTATGAGACTCCTTAGACTGTCCAGTAGGATGGATCTCCAGGCACCTATGGTGCTGGCAATTCACAAATAAACCCTCTTAATGAGCTTTTTTTCATTCCACTTCACTGGTCCAGTCCCTTGCTGGGGTTCCCTGGAATCACTTCCCAGAGCAATTCCTACATGTAAGCCTTTGTCTTCGGCTCTGCTTTGGGAGAACCTAGGCTAAGTTACTGGCTTCCCAAGTCTGCCTGTGACTCAAAGTGTAAGTACAAGGCGAATGTAATATAGCAAAACTAAGAGGCAGAGCTTGATGCTACACACTGGCTCTGCTTTTTCATTCATGTGAACTTATGTATCAGAGAGAACAGGACGCAACCAATTACAGTTGAAAAGAAAACGCATGAGAGAGTGTATCACACTGGCTGCTCATTTTACACCTAAAGAAAACAGGTTCAGAAAACTGGAGTGACTGACCTAAGACTGCAGAACTGAGACAGCTGCCCAGGTTGCTTAAGACGCTATGCATGGTGAACTCAAGGATTATTAATGACAAACACTGACTCAGTGTCTAGGCTGTGCCATGTAGGCATGACACGAGGAAACTCTTCTAAGTGATTCATTTACCCCTCAACAGATGACCTCTGAGGGCAGAACATACTCTTTTACAGACTTCAAAGCTCAAAGTTCCGTCACTGCCTAAGGCTACTCGGCCAGGAGTGGCAGGGTGGGGTCTGAAGCCAGAGCCCGTGCTCCTCGTTGCTTTGCCAAACTGCTAAAGGAAGTCCCTGAAGCCCATCTGGCTATGGTGGGCTTTCCTGCCAGTGGCAGGAGAGCAGACCAGGTGGCAGAGGGTACTACAGAGGAGCTATTGTTTTAGAGAGAGGCTTCATGTAACTTAAACAGCAGAGGGGTAGGGTTGAAAATACAAACAGTAAGACTGATGTGGAAACCGTGCTTTCACAGGCACACACTAAGAGCTTAATGTTAGCTGTATCTTACCACGACTGCAGTTATGGTTCTGATTCTTCCGATGAACGTGAGGACGAATCCATTTGGCAGCTTGATTTTCACTGAAGTTCTTCATTTTTAACTAAAGCAAAATAGTGAATACGTTTAATTTAATAAATGCAATGGCTATTACAAAAATGTACGTATACAGAAGTAATTTGATTTTGTTTTATTGCTTACATATGAATTGCACAGTGAATTGTTACATTTCAAAAAACTCAATTCATTACATTTAGTACATATATTGGCATGAATAAAACAAATTAGTACCATTTTCAGAAAGGAAGAAAAGAGATATTGAGAGGAAGGGGAAGTTAACTGCTGGTTAATACAGTATTATGATTCTAAAAGATAATGAGTTCAGAAGTATTAAGGAAGTGTGTGTGTGTTTAGGTTAACTCCAATGACTATATAAGCAAAGACAACACAAGTATAGGAGGAACATTTCAATGTCAACTATTCAATGTCAAGGAAAAAAATGAATGATACAAGCAACAGTATATAGCCAAAAGAGAATGATTAACAGTTTTTATTAAGAGTTTTAAATATCTACAAAAATATAGCAATACAGTGAACTTCAACACATCCTAAACTTTCAGTATCCAAACTGGCTGTAATATAGTAGGCATACCTATGACGTGCAGGATCTCCTGCAATCACCTGGAAGGAACAGAAAGCCTAAGAAAAGACCCCTCATTTCTTGGGAATCGTTGTTAACAAGACCAGCTCAGTAATCTAGGATATACCGAAGTCTACTGTGATTTAAAAACAACTACAACAGGAAAAAAAATCCCACAAAACCCAAATCTACAGTTTACAAAACAGACCAAGAGAGAGGTGTGATAAACATTAACTGAAATAGTTTTCCTTTACATGCTATAC